TATGATGCTCCTAAAGACATGAGTGCTCTTACACAAGCACAAAAGGATCAGCTTAATAGCATCAAGAAAAAGGATCAAAAGGCCGTTTCTCTCATCCACCAAGCATTGGATGAGGTTACCTTTGAGAAGGTTTCTAATGCCACCACAGCAAAGGAGTTGTGGGAGAAGCTTCAAGCTGCCTGTAAAGGAAAAGAAAAGGCAAAGAAAGTTCACCTCCAAAATTTGAGAGGTGAATTTGAAGCTGTCCAAATGAATGAGACAGAAAAGGTGTCAGATTATATTTCAAGGGTCATGGGGATTGCCAACCAGATGAGAAGGCTTGATGAAGAGGTGACTGATTTAAGGATAATTGAAAAAATTCTTAGATCAGTTACGGAGAAGTTTGATTATGTGGTGATGGCCATTGTAGAATCAAAGGACTTGGAAGACATGACTGTTGAAGAGTTAAGTGGTTCACTTGAAGCACATGAGGAGAAGCTCAATAGAAGAAAGAAAGAGCCTGTGGAGCAGATTCTACAGTCAAGACTTTCTCTGGGTGATAAAGAACAAAAGGGAGGCACAAGTCAAGGAGGACGAGGTCGAGGTCGAGGCCGTGGACGCAGTCATGTCGTGGTCGAGGACATGGAAGAGGAGGAAGAAGTGTCCAGAACACTGATCAAAGCAGAGATGAAAATTTTCAGTTCTCCTTTTTGAGAGGCCGTGGCAGAGGAGGATCAAGGCCATATCAGAAGAGGTATGAAAAATCCCAAATTCAGTGCTACACTTGTCATAAGTTTGGGCATTATTCATGGGAATGCAGATTTGGCAACAATGTGAAAGCCAATTTCTCTCAAGACGAAGATAAAGAAGTTAATGAAGAGGTGGAGACAACTCTCTTGTTGGCCTGCAAAGATACGAAGAATGAAGGAAAGCACTCTTGGTACCTTGATACTGGAGCAAGCAACCACATGTGTGGAAACAAAGAATTATTTGTGGAGCTTGATGAGAAAGTTGTCGGCAACATCACCTTTGGAGACTCCTCCAAAATACCAGTGAGGGGTAAAGGTAAAATTCTGATACGCATGAAGGGTGGAAATCATCAATTTATCTCAAATGTTTATTATGCACCTGACATGAAGAGTAATATTTTGAGTGCGGGCCAACTGTTAGAAAAGGGATATGCTGTTTTCACAAAAGGTTGCAGTTTGTACTTGAAAGATTCTGCAGGAAGCTTGATTGCCAAAGTCTCAATGTCAAAGAATTGTATGTTTGCTATGAACATACATACAGATGTGGCTAAATGCTTAACATCTTGTTATAAAGATTCTTCATGGCTGTGGCATTTGAGATTTGGGCATATGAACTTTGGAGGACTTAAGGCTATGGCTAGCAAAAGAATGGTGAAAGGCTTGCCCTCGGTAATCAACCTGATCAACTTTGTGAAGGTTGTCTTCTTGGTAAACAATCAAGAAAGAGCTTCCCAAAACAGTCTGAATCAAGAGCTACGAGGCCACTACAGCTAGTTCACACTGATGTCTGTGGGTCGATCACCCCATGTTCTTTCGATAAGAACAAATACTTTCTTTTGTTCATTGATGATTATAGTAGAAAAACATGGGTATATTTTCTTAAAGAAAAATCAGAAGTGTTCCAGTGTTTCCAGAATTTTAAAGCACTTGTGGAGAAGGAAAGTGGCTTTAAAATCCAAGCATTGAGATCTGACAGAGGAGGTGAATTCACTTCTAAAGAATTTCAAGAGTTCTGTGCTGCCAATGGAGTTCGCCATTTTCTTACTACCCCAGGATCGCCACAACAGAACGGAGTGGTGGAAAGGAAAAACAAAACCATTCTAAATATGGCAAGAAGTATGATGAAGACCAAGAAGATGCCAAGAGAGTTATGGGCTGAAGCTGTTGAGTGCGCAGTCTACTTGTTGAACCGCTGCACAACAAAAGCAATTGAAAATAAAACTCCAATTGAATTATGGAGTGGAAGAAAGCCCTCAGTCCATCACCTAAAGGTGTTTGGAAGCATTGCATTTGCCCATGTTCATGATGGAAAGCGCACCAAGCTTGATGACAAGTGCAAGAAGTATGTGTTTGTTGGTTATGACTATAGAACAAAAGGATACAGGCTTTATGATCCAGAAGGTGGCAAAGCAGTCATCAGTAGAGATGTGGATTTTGATGAAGAAGCCATGTGGGATTGGAAATCTCAAGAAGAGAATTATGAATTTCTTCCGTCTTTTGCAGAAGAAGATGATGAAGAAGAAAGGCAAGAAATCATCACTCCCTCAGCATCACTGTCTCGTGGTGAAATTTCATCCCCAGAAGGAAGCTCAAGTGAAGGGCCATTGCGAACAAGGAGGCTCAGTGATATATATCGAGAAACTGAAGAAATTGAAGAAACTAATGATGTTACACTATTTTGTCTTTTTGCAGACATTGAGCCTATTAACTTCAATGAAGCTGCCAAAGATGAAAAGTGGAGAAAAGCAATGGACGAGGAGATGAATGCAATTAAAAAGAATGATACTTGGGAGCTAGTCACTCTTCCTCAAGGACATGCTGCTATTGGAGTGAAATGGGTGTTCAAAGAGAAGAAGAATTCTAAAGGAGAGGTAGAAAGATACAAAGCAAGGCTCGTGGCTAAAGGCTATAAACAGAAACATGGCATTGACTATGAAGAGGTTTTTGCACCGGTAGCTCATCTGGAGACGATAAGGTTGATAATTTCTCTAGCAGCTCAAAACAAGTGGAAGATTTTCCAAATGGATGTCAAGTCAGCCTTCCTAAATGGCTTTCTTGAAGAAGAGGTGTATGTTCAACAACCTCTCGGCTATGTTGTAAAGGGTGAAGAGAACAAGGTGCTTAAACTGAAGAAAGCTCTCTATGGCTTGAAACAAGCTCCAAGAGCTTGGAATTGTAGAATCGATAGATACTTTCAGAAGAATGGCTTTGTCAAGTGCCCTTATGAATATGCTCTCTACGTAAAGGTGAGCAATGGTGGAATTTTAATTGTTTTCCTGTATGTAGATGATCTAATCTTCACAGGCAATAATCCAAGGATGTTTGAAGAATTCAAAAGGGCAATGAGCAATGAGTTTGAAATGACAGATATAGGACTCATGTCCTATTATCTTGGCATAGAAGTGAAGCAGATGGAGGAAGGGATCTTCATTTCACAAGAAAATTATGCGAGAGAGGTGATTAAAAGATTCAACATGAGCAATTGTAAACCAGTGAATACTCCGGTTGCCGGTGGCATGAAGCTGTCCAAGTTTGAAGAAGGTGGAAGTGTGGATGCAACTCTTTTTCGGAGTTTAGTTGGAAGTTTGAGATATTTAACTTGCGCAAGACCTGATATTTTGTTCGGAGTTGGATTGGTTAGTCGATATTTGGAGGCTCCTACAACAGTTCATCTAAAGGCAGCAAAGAGGATCCTTCGCTATATAAAAGGTACTACTGATTTCGGGTTAAATTACTTTGCCTCTAATGAGTTTACTCTTAGAGGTTTCAGTGACAGTGATTGGGCCGGAGATATTGATGATAGAAAGTGCACCACTGGATGTGTGTTTTACATGGGTGATACAGCTTTTACTTGGAGCTCGAAAAAACAACCCATTGTTACTCTGTCAACTTGTGAAGCAGAGTATGTTGCTCTTAATTCTTGTGTAACTCATGCAGTTTGGTTGAGGAATTTGATAAAGGAGCTTCATGTCACACAAAAGGGCTCAACAAAAATATATGTTGACAACAAATCTTCAATTGCATTGGCAAAGAATCCTCAATTTCATGAACGAAGCAAACATATTGATACCAGGTATCATTATGTGCGCCAGTGTGTTGAAGACAAAGTGGTGCAGCTAATTTTTGTGAAATCTCACGATCAGATGGCAGACATCCTTACCAAGGCTCTCAAGTTTGATGATTTCAAGAAATTAAGAAGCTGTCTTGGAGTTGGAAAAAGTCATGTTTAAAGGGGGGTGTTGAAAGGATAAACATGCCTTGAATATCCAGTTCATGTATCTGGTATGAATAGTATTTAATAATGTATCTAGGAGAATGGGATTCATGTATACCAGTTAATTAGGAAAGAACCAGTGTTTGTGATTTATCTATAAATAACTTTGTAAGTTCTTATTTTCAATGAAGTAAATACAGAGAAATATAGTCTCCAAACTCTCCTCTCTTCCACTGTAGAATCCTCATAAGTCCAGTTATATCCAACAAGTATAACATTAATTTAAATAAAAAAACTCAATAGCACCAACGTACCGGTACTTGAAGCCAGTGAATGCAGTAGTGTACTCCAACCAAGTTAAGGAGCGGTTTCAGGCATGGGTTGAAGAAGAGCATGTAAACGTCTTTGAATCCAATCCGTATGAAGCTAAGGTGTGTAATTGCTTGCAGATAGTAGAAAACCCCAAGCGGCATGCACAGCCCTGAGCTTAATTTCCTTCAACGATTTGACAACAGGTGCGACTTTATTGCAATACCAGTGTGTTTCTCTTTGTAAAACTCCCTCCATCCCTACCATACCATCATAATTTTTCAGTCCAATATAACAAATATAAAACACTGAATTTCACTACAATATTTTGGGTAGGCCGAACATTTTGGGATTTTCTTGGGGACGCGGGGTAGGAGTGGGAGTCACAGTGATTGGATAGAAATTAGAAACAA